GTGAATCGATTTTTAGCCTGTTTTTTATTATCTTCCCCACAGACAGCGCCAAATTGTTTCGAATGTAAACAATGGGTCCTTCGGATGGACCTTTCTTGTGAGCTAAAGACTGACTCGGTCCAAGTGATGACTGGGATGAGGGTTTCCTGCTCAGCAAACACATGTAAATTGGGCTCGAGGGTGGTGCCGAGGAAGGCCCCTCCGATGCCAAAGTTAGTACAGTGTTTAGAGAGAGAAAGCTATGCAAGAGTATTAATTGCTTGAGCCTTAATGTGAATAAATTGAGAGAGGGGGAAGTGAAGACTTTTATACCTTACTCAAATAGCTTTAATGGGCCTCTTAGCTATGTGCGCTTGCCACGATGACTAGGCCTTCTTTGACTTATGGGCATGCTTGGGGAGAGTTGAACCTTCTTTGGGCTTTTAAATTGATCATTTGTAGACCGCCCAATTAGAGTAAATTGGACCCAAACAAGTTCAATTTCAAGTTTAGTGAAAATAAATAGGAAAAATTGGTTTTAAATCCCAACTTTGGCTGATTTTCTTTAAATAATCTCAACTTTTGATTATTTTGGATTAATCCCAACTTATATATGTATCTTCTTAAAATAATCTGAAGTGTTATTTTTGTTGCTTTTGTTGATCCCTTTTGAGACTATTATGTATTACAAAAACAAAAGTTCAGATTATTATAAGAATATATCTATATAAGTTGGGATTATACTAGAATAATTAAAAGATGTAATTATTTAAAGAAAATCTACCAAAGTTGGGATTATTAGAACCAATTTTTCCAAAATAATATTCTTAGGGATGAATAATTGAAAATCCCACAAAATCCAAAAAGTCATCACAAAATAATCCAAATGTTCAACCTTCTAATTTTTCGATTGATCACAACTCTAATATGAAACCTAATTTCATACAATATTCTAGTTATATTCCGCAAAATAATGATCGACTGAATATAATCAATAATCACCTTCATCGTAAAGTAAGAAAAATAATAATGGACCCTTCCAATTCTAAAATAGTGAAAATCAAATTGCAAGTTTGGATAATTACATGTGTAATAGAGCTCGTGTTCATGATAAAGATATGCATAGAGCACTGAAGTCGGATTTAGTGGAACATTTGTGGCTCAAGTTTAGGGGTAGTAATTAATAGGCATAATAATCAACAGTAATGTATTATTATTGAAATTTTAGCATTATCTTTATTTAAATAATCATGCTTTCTATTCTTAGAAATGTTGCAACAACTTATGTATCATTGTATTCGTATTGTCATATAATATGTTATCGTATCATCTTATCATTTTTTTACTTAATTAACGATAATTAGATCACAATTAACATTAATAATTAATAATTATGTTTTATTAATGATGATTAAATAATGTAATCATTTATTATTAATTAATTAATTCATTAATTTAGTAGTAGTTGTATTGGCAGTAGAGTAAAAATAGGAAAGAGAAAATCAATGCCCACTAAATTAGAGGGCAATCAATGAGAGTACATGGGCATACAATAGTTGTATGTGGGCCAAGTATACAACACCACTTAAAAACTATCTACTCATCATAAGCCAAAAAATGAGAAGGAAATTGGTTGGGGGGGGGGATTTGGGTGTTTGGCGCCATGTAGTACAAGTAGGGGGGATTTCTTGGTGGGAAATTTTTTTTACGCCATACTACCATGTTACCAAAAAAATATATTACGTTACTGTCATTACCAAACAAACATATTACATTACCAATAAATTCAAATTTCTTACCAGTGATAATGACGTCCTAGTCAGCGTCATTAATAAAGAGAGATGTTTGTTTTTTTTTTTTTTTTTTAAAAAAAAGTTGATTAATATATCATTTGACGATATTTCATAAATTACTACTCAAAAAATTATTATAACAAACCAATAAAAAAAAATTTATGCTCTTTTTATAGACATCCATATCGATATACTTTAAAAAATTATATAGTTGGACAATTCTAACCTTAATATAGTTTTGTGCTTTTTCTTTATCTTCATCCCATTGTTAAAAATATAATAATACTAGTTTTTTGCCCAAGAAACACTCGGATATTTACTGAAAAATTATAAAACTTAATATTATTAATATAGATGAGATATGTTAATATAGAGTATTTCTATTTTTGTACTTTGCTAACAAATTATGAATTTATAATTGAGTTGGAATCCCTTCTTTTAGTAGGAAATGATCAATTCATTTTATAGATTCACGAATGAATATTCAAGGGATTATAAAAGATTTTCTAATCTTAATATATAATTAAAACTTTTTTAGTTTATGGTGATTTTTTATTTACAACAATAAATTTCAGTTAAATTGATTTAGAAATTTAAAGGGTAAAAAATTACTAATTTACTATGACTCTATGACTAATTTACTATGACTCTACGACGGTGTTCATTATTTTTAATCTTTTTTAATTAGTTTATCTGACTTTTCTAAAATAAATTTGTTACTCTACACTTGACACTCTCTCATCTCTTTCCCCTATTTTCTCTCTAAAAACCCTAGCCTTCATTGTTGAATTTTGGAGTGGCATCCATCGGTTTTTACCAGTGGAAGCCCAAATCTTTGTTTTTGTTTGTGTTAGATTTATAATAATTCTTCCTCTTCTAGGAGAACGTTTCTCCCTCGAAAGAAAGGGTTTTTCTTCTTCTTTAGGAGGAATTATCTCCTTCAAAAGAAAAGGTTTTTCTTCTCTCTTTTGAAGGAGGATTTGTTTTTTTGTTTGATGGACTGTTGTAGGGTTGTTTCATGGGTAAAGATCTGTGCGGGATCGAAAAAGAGGTTAATCTTTCGATTACAATCAGACGAATCAGACGATAATTTTCTTCACTGCTATAACAGATTGATGGAACCCCCATCGAAGAAGACTGTAAATCACAACGATGTGAAAAAGGGTATAAAAAATGTACGTTTTGCGACAACGATTGTAGTTTTGCTGAAAGGATGTTTTTATTTGATTCAATTGTCATGTATTTGTTAGATAGAAATCTCTTTGTAGATGTCGTATGACTTTTTATTTATGAATCAATCTTTGTTCAAAAAAATAAAAGTTTATTTGACTTTTCTTATTTATGTACTTGCAAAGAAAAAAAAATTATTTATTCACAGTTGTTGTTAATGTTCTATTTTTTTTTGGGATGTTTAGGCTGTAGTTTTTTTTTTTAAAAAAAAGGTCATCTTAGTTTTTTTTTAGGAAAAAGGAAAAAAAAAAAAGGAAAATAAAAGTTTTTGGCGGGATATTTTTTGTTGTGCATGCGACATGTGTACTTTAGGGATAATTCTGGTATTACTTAGCTTTAGTATATATACTAGTATAGTACCGGCCGTGTAATTGCACAGTTTGAATAGTTTAAATATTAAATCTCACATAATCTAAACTATTGGTTATCATAGTATATAATAGCGAAATCTTTTAGTATACACTAGTTGCGGGATCGTGCGCGTTGCACGCGCTACCCCAAATTATCGTAATTTCTTTATTGCAAATAATGATAAAGTTTTGTCCAAAAAAAATATAATGATAAAGTTGATTTAATGTAAGGTTTCGTCAACCAAACAGTACCAAAATTTATCTTTCATTTCCTATGAAGTTGTATTTGATTTTTTAATCCAACCAAACAATCACTATCATTTTAATTAGGAAAAATTGCCATGAATAAAACGACTTTTCATCAGTATTCTAAAAATAAAACGACCTTTTAATTATTTCAGAATAAAACGACCTTTGACATGCATCTTCTATAAATAAAATAAATAACTGGTAACCTGTTTTATAGGTTAAACCGGACACGTATAGCATTGCGATTTCTTAGGATTTTATTATTATATTTTTACAAATTTCTTGTAAATAAAATGATCTAATAAAAAAAAAAACCTTAATAATAATATAAAAATACCCTCCCCTTCCTATCAGTTAGCTCAACCCCTTCCCCATTTTAACAACCTCTCCCCTCTCCCCCGTTCAGCGCCACCAGCACCTTCCCCTTTGCCTCATCCCCATCCCACTCCCGATTCCCGCAGTGCCCAAAGCCCCTCTCGCTTCCTCACGCCGGCTGATTTTTTAGATGGGTGTTTCAAAATGGTGGGGGTAAGGGTTGGTGGTCGATTGGTTTCGATAGGGGAGTTTCGGGTTCGTAGAGGGCTAGGGGTAGGAGTTTCGTCGTTTCGAGCTCATGGTGGAAGAGTAGGGTGGGGGTTCAGCCTGGTAGGGGATTGGGTGGTATTTGTCGAGGTTAGGTTGAGGGCTTGTGGTGGATTGGATTTCAATGTTGGTGGTGGGTGAGAGGGCCTGGGGTTTCGGCCGGGCTGGTGGGTGGAGGTAACAACTAGCGGTGGTTAGGCGGTTGTGTGGTGGGGGCTATTGGTTCTTTTTTTTTTCATAAATAGAATCAAATTTATTATAAGAAAATTGTAAAAAATAAATAAACAAAAATTGATCAATTACATGACAACAGTGTCACATTTTACTTATTAAACAGGTTATCAACCAGTCACGTTCTATTTTAAGCAAATGCATATCAAAGGTTGTTTTATTCCAAAACAATCAAAATGTCATTTTATTATTAGAAGAATAATGAAAGGTCATTTTATTTTTGACAATTATTCCTTTTAATTATCAAACTTGTCATCATTGAAAATCAAACTAGTTGACTAATGTAAACAAGTAATCTAGCAAATTATAAGTACTACAGTTTTTATTTATTTTTTTCCCTGCTACCCACGTATTTTGGAGTAGCCTCCCCTTATGCCCTTAACAACATTTTAGTCTAGTCAATTACAGTGTGAGAACTTATTCTTTCAGATATTACCACGACAATCCTACAGATCACGATAAAATGGCAATGAAGCTTCTCTGCATAATCTGCCAGTAAAAAACTACTCCTACAATAATACATGATACTGTATATGCAGACTTGGAGCAAACTACAAATGACTCAAGACCAATGATTTAAAAAATATTTTCGGCAAAATCAGAAACAAATGTACAAATAGCACAAAAGCATTGCTTTTCAATACCAAGCAATATGCAGCACCAGAGTCAAAAGGCCTGATGGGTACACAATTTAAAGAAAAACCCAGCATCCAACAGTAATAATACAATTATCATGAATTAATGCATTATTGTCAAAAAGGCAGCCAAAGGAACTTTGAAATGAAAACAAAACTACAATTTGAAAGCATATTTCAACATAATTATCAAGTCATAGCCAATCCTATTAGCAGCCAATAAGCAATATTGCCTCATCATTCTTTCTTCCCAATTCCATGAGACATGTTATAGATCCCTTTACCCTGAAGGAAAAAAGTGAAAAGTGACCCAGAACCAAAAGTGAGAACTGAGGACATGAAGCACAGAAGTTCTCTTAAAACTAAAATGAAAATACATAAGACTTAAAAAAAAAAACGACTTACAATCAGGAATAATGATGTAGCCGCAAGAGCAATAGGAATGGCAACAGAGGTGACCTTGTCGAGGGGTCCTTTTAGATATGTATGCTTCTGGACGCTTTGGAAATACTTTTGCCTCTCAAGAATCTTCTCCCTTGGGAAAAATGGAGCCTCTTGCTCTGCCATCCTGCTTGCCAATAAGAAGTAATAAAATTTAGCAAGAGCCTCAGAGAAGTCAACCAAGCACAAGGCAATTAGCTAATGACAAGTGCATAACATAAAAGGACCAAACCAGATCCAGAGGCCTTAAAAAGAAGAAAGATAAGAGTATAGAAAATCAAGACCAGCTAACCACAGACAACAGCCATCCCCTTCACTTTTGTGAAAGTTATTGGTACAATTTCCAGTTTTCAAACAAGAAAAAATTAGCGGTCTACATTCAACAGAATAACAGAAACTTGTAAATAATCACAATCACTTAGCAAGCTGTAAACCGTTAATTTTTCAAATAAAAAGAGAAAGAAACAGTTTCCAGAAACTTGTAAATAATCACAACAATTTAGCAAGCCCTCTATACCCTTGATTTTTCAAGCTAACAAGAGAAAGAAAACCAATCCATGAAAGCAGAATCTGCCCCCTCCAATATATCATTATACATCAATACTAAAAAATCAGCTCAGCATCAAACTTCAAAATCTTATTCTTTCTCAAGTCGCAACAAGTAATAAAATGTGGAAAACAAAATATACCAATTGGCAATCCGGACAAAAAACATTTTACCCTGCATCATGAACAATCATACCAACCCATACATTAACGGTGACAAACACTGAAGTTGAAAATATACTTAGCCACAAACAATCCAGGAACACAGGATGATGACAACTATAAATCAACAATTAATTTACAGCATCAACATTTATAAGTGAGCAAGATGATGGACCCAGAAGGGAAAGTTAAAAGGAGAACATAGCACCTTGTCATATTGAGGGACAATCAAGGCAAATGATGGGCCAAACATTGTGGTACAGGGGAGCAAGAGAGCACCATAGATAGAACCATGATGTGAAAGCAAAGGAATACTAGAGGAATGGTTGAATGCCTTAACTTGAGGCATCTCATACCTATGCATGAACTCTAACATCAATTGTCGTTCTCAAGCTAACATTAATCATGATTCTCATACTAATATCAATAATGGTTCTCAAACTAACATTAATCATGATTATCATCTTGCCACAGGTAAACAACTACACATGTAAAATCATTAATTTTAGGTTAAACATTTCATTAAGAACAATAGATTTCAACAACACCAAACTAAGAAAACAACTTTTCATGCCTGCAAGGAAACTAAGCTCACGCACAATATAACAAGAAAAAGTCAATTTCAAATTTATAATATTCACACAAGTTAAACATTTTTATGATCAGATAAGTTAATCAGATGAACTCAGCTAACAACCTTGAATACAACTACAAGAGATAGACCAGAAAAAAGAGGTCTAATTTCATATTCAATTATCTCGAGAAATACATAATTCTAGGGATGTTTGATTCAATAATCAAATATTCGCACATGAATAGCAAGTCTGAAATCAGCTAACATATGAGAAAAGCAACAAAGAAAATGATACTCATATAACTTTAGGATTCGACCAATATCTATCTATAACAGGCACATCACTAAGCTAGGGCAGGAGAGGTGACTGCTCTGTGGCTATGATAGAAATCCAGGCCCATTGGAGTCTGTTTCGGAGTTCGTGGAAATAGCAAGCCTATTGCCATTAACCAATACTCTAATCTACCTTGCATTGGGCAATCCTATAGCCCCTGGGGAGAATAAGCCCATATTCGTAGTTCCATCCTAACATTATCGGGCTAAAAACTATTACGTGCTAATTTAAGCTGATTGGTTGAAGTGACTCAATGGTATTGACTATTGATCCCTTGCTAATAAAAAATCCTTAAGAGGGGTTCATTGGGTGCTAAACCTTAGAGCCAAGCTTTATTAAGAAGAGATTTGGCGCGAGTTCAATAGAATTTAGGCAGGCTCGGCTTGACCTGAAACTAGACCAACCTCAAAACCCAAACACACAGCTCGGGCTCCAATTGCCCCAACAAGGCTCCGCTTGTGGACTAAATTAGGCTCAAACAATGCAACACATTAGCAATCAAATTTGACTCAATTATCAAATTAGGGTAAAAAAAATCACATTAAATCTTCTCGCTTAGAATATCTATCAACGTACAATGCACATAACAAAATTCTAGCAACAAAATTGTTCGTTATAAATATTCATAGCTTCAGTAAGTATAGCCAACAGTTCAATAATCCGCCTAATAAGAACCCTAAATCGACTAAATTGACAATTGAATCAACGATATTGTGAAACAAAGCCCTAGATATTGGGATTGAAATTCAATGAATATTAACAAAAAAAATTATTACCTCAGAAATTGCTTCAATGGAGGAGAGGATCAGAAGCCGCTTCGATGGAGAAGTCAGAGAACGCTAATAGAAGAGAGAGAAGGTGCAGTGTAAAAGTGAAAAGATCTAGTGCGGTAAATCGGTAATGCACTAATTGTTCCTCTAAAATTGAAAAATAGGAGGATGATTTTTTTTTTTTTGAAAGCGTTTGGCAGGAATGTTGTAAATCAGAATCTCCTGAAAGTATAAGACTATGAAGGAACGGGTCTATATAAATAAATTCATAACAAGAGCATCCCATCTTGCTACAAGTTGAGCGATCATGTTACTAGCCCTTTTATTTTTGATATAATGTTACCTGCACTTCTGTAGAGAATATTTCAACACTCAACTTTGAGCCTCACTGTGATCATGCATTTAAGCATGGTGGCGTCCAAAAGGAAAGAAGGTAGAGCAAAAGAGTCGCCAACAAATTTTAGGAACTTGTAAACCGTTCACGAGTGTGAAGGTTACACCCCATTCACTATCACGGAGATCGCTAACTCCATAATGGTCCGAAACCATGACTGGATATTCGGGGATGATGGTACGAATCCAACCTAAAAGAGATTGAACCCGCCCTAAATCGGCCTCTACTTAATTCTTATGATATTCATGTGCGCTTTCCGATCAACATACATACAACAAGTTAACCGTAAACTTGTTTATTCTATGTTGGTTTATTATTCATGCACAAATAAATCTATCATTGACGATCACTTGAATTAAAATCATATTAACCCTAAAACAAGTTATTAATTATCTTATTAGGCGTGATTTCAAGTACAAATTACCTTTAAACAAATTCCCTTTAAACCTGCAAGAAAGGGCGTGATCAAGCAATAACAATGAATCATAAATAATCAAGCAACATAATAATTAACACAACAATCATCATTATAATAAAAATCATAACTTGCAAGATCCTAGGCACGATACTAAACGGATTAATAACATACCCTAGCATGTCACTAAATAATAAAAATCAAAGTTTTCGCCTAAACATGATACTAGAAACCAACATGATATTAGAAATATTAAAAGCACACCCTAATATGATACTAGAAATCAAAATAAACAACCTAACATGATACTAGAAATCAAAATAATATTCTAAACATGACTTCTATATCAAAAGTAAGGAATATATATTAGGGAGATCAAATTACTCACTTTGATGTCTCGTACTTCTTTCTATCAAGATAATACACACGTTAGTAACTTCAAGAAAGATATAAATCAAACAAATCAAATAAATCAAATAAGAATTGAAATAAAGATTAGGGACCAAACCCTCAGAACTATCAACCTTTCACGTCGAGGTCAAAGGCAACTTCGAGAAGGGCTTGGAGTATTCAAGTCTCGCAAAGGTCGTATGGTGTGATGTGTTTAGGCTAGACTAAGAAAGAGAGAGAAGCTTATAGCTTAGAGAGGGATTAAGATGATGATTGTTGGTGAATGAAAATGAAGGAAAACGACCCTATTTATAGGAAAAAACGAGGGAAAATATCAGAAAAAGAGTCAGAATCCGACTTAGAGTAAAACGCTTTTCATCGCGTAACGATGGTTACATCGCAGTTGTGCGATATTTGCATCGCTGTGCGATAATTCCATCGCTGCGTGATGCTAGATAAGATCCATACGGAATCCGACTTCCAATCAAATTGGGTTAGTCGAATATCTGTATTTATCCTTATTTTATCAGAATTAAATCTATTAAAAACACATGTTTTATCCGATATAAAATTCTTAGATCTTATCTTTTCAAAAAGAGGATAAATTAGAAGCTTCTAGAAGATTCTAGAAGCTAATAATCAATCCTAATGGATTTAGGACTCAAAACAACCTCCTAGATAATTCTAGAAGCTTATGATAAATCCTAATGGTTTTAGAAATAGAGTTAAGATAAATGGATCCTCCACATGATCATTGGGTCCGCAGATAAGGCTCGGTTTGGACTTAGTTTAGTCTTTTGGCCATAACTTCTTCGTCATAACTCAGATTTGTGCTTATAATATATCGTTGGAAAACTCTTTTCAAACCCCATCCAACCACACAATTATTGGAACCAGACTATGGACCAAAATAAACTGTTTTGGACGTTTTTAAAAAAAGGACACGAAAAGAATGATTTTAGGACACGAGAAGAATTATTTTGGGTTCAAAGGCACGACATAAATGATTTTGGCTAAAAATATTTTAGGAAGGCTAGAAATATGGTCAAGGCTTAGAAAATTCACGAGACTCTTCAACTCTTCACCTAACTCGATAATCAAAGACGTGAAAGGTACTCATCACTTGGTTTGGTTTTTGGGGAGACACAATCAGGTGCCTACACCTTTAACATGAGAAGAAATAAAAGCATTAAAACACTTAGATAACATGCTAATATCATCATAAATTAACCAAATCGGCGAGCAACCTCTGGAACCATTTTTTATTGCAGTACACACTGAAGAAGAATCACCTTCCAGCCAAACCTGCGTCACACCCAGGCGCCTAGCCACCAAGAGCCCAAAACGCGCAGCTGCTTTCTCAGCACACTCTACCTCCCACACACCGTCAAATTTTCTAACCGCAGCCCAAATGATCTCTCCCCGATGGTTTCTTGCCACTGCTCCCAGCCCCATATAGGAAGTAGCTACATGAGCATCCACATTTACCTTTATAAAACCTTCCGAGGGACGTTACCACACATTTAAAGAGCGGCTTGCACTTCATGGTTGGCTGGAGAACACTTTCTTCGCATACATACAATAGTTTGCAATAAGCTTGACATAGCTGGCAACCATTTGAGAAGCATTTAGAGGCAAACCCTCATGAACCAACTTGTTTCTATGAAACCAAAGGGACCATACCATGGAACATAACACACGTAACTCATCCCGATTTAGTTTATCAGCAAGCCACACAACCTTTGAGCAAAAATAGGAGTTCAGAGAATTGTTCAAAATAGATCGGAATTGGCTGTTATTCCAGACATCTGGCTGCATCATAATCAAATAGCACATGAATGATGGATTCAACACCACCAACACACGCCCTACATAAATCATCCCCCACTATATGCCTTCTTGCTTGACCGCAGCACACCTCTTACACGTCTGCCATACGAAGTGGATTAGTTTTGGAGGACCACCTAGTCTCCAAATAATGCGCCACGCCTCTTGTTCCTTATCCCCAACTCCATCATCCACGCCAGAAATGTGACCTATTCTTCCTAGCAGTATCCAGATCTTACATTGTAAACACCATCTTTGGAAGGCCACCAAAACAACAATTCAACAGGCATAGAGTTAACAAAGGGTATTTGGAGAATGGACTTACAATCGTCAGGTGAAAATAATTCTTGCAGCGCCTCAGTGTTCCAGCAAGCAGAAGGTGCGTCAATTAAATCTGAAACCCGCAAACCTGGATCATAATGTGGACCATGTGTAGGAGCTTTTGATAGAAGGTCTAAACACGTCGTTAAATGCTTAATACCTTATCAACAAATTTATAAACACTCGACCAATCCTAAACCAAGTATAGGGTGAGTTAAGGGTCGAACCACGAGGAATGGGAGAAAGGTTACTATAGCCTAAGGTCAAGCTATTTCGAAGAATAAGAAGGATGTTGAAATTGAATAACTATGGTCTCAAACAACTAAACTAAAGAGGGAATTCAATATAAAAAGCACTAGGGATTAGGATCCACATACAATCAAGATAGGAATGCCAAATGAGGGGAAAATTGATCAACCAAATGTTGCAAGGGAAAAATAGTAATTGCAATCAAGAGAATTCAAAAGGTTATCTCCTAGAAGTCAAGCTAGGTTTCCTCTACGAATGACTAGCAAGAAGAATCACAAATCAAATTCAATCAATAAATGCAATCCCTAAATCAAGGGTTCATGTCATTAGGAATCACAATGTAATCTAGCTTGAAAATCAAGGTTAGCTACTCCTTAACAATTCAACCACATGCACAATTCTATCAACCAATTTAATCACATCATTCAAGCAATCAAAATTCACTAATTAGCAATGATCCATCATTCATGCATGCTTCACCATCACCCTAGCTAGGAATCTACTCACTAAGCATGTTGAAATTGAAGAACCAAACTAAACTAATCATCAAAATCATCATCATCATTGCAAAACAGATAATAAAGAATCAAACCAATCAATAAACTTGAAATTGCAACAGTTAATCAAAATCAAATGCAAAAGATTGAATTAAGAAGAAGAAGAGTCTTACAAACTTTGATCAAATTAAAGAAATTGTGCTTGCATTCAAAGTAGAAGGAAATAAAATGAAATTCTCTCAAGTTTCTCTCTCTAAAATCTAAGAACTAGAAAGGTGTAACTCCAAAACTTCTCTCTTTAGCCTCCTTAGCCTCCCTAAAAATTAACTCTCTATAGAATAACTAAGGAGAAATAAAGTGGACGTCCAAAAGAAACCTGTATAGGCGTGCCCTTTCTCCAGAATGCGCGGTCGCAAAAAATGGGGTACGGAACAGAGAGCTCAGGTGGCGTGCCTGTGCGCGGAGTATGTGCGCCCACGCCCTATGAATGCGCGCCCGCACCACTAGAGCAGGGGACTTCCTCCGTGCGTTGTTCAATGCAAGTGGTGCGCTACTCTTGATCGACATTTGGGGATGGCAGTCTCCAAAAGAGTTTACGGTGGGTTCAACATCATATTTTCATGTGAGCGCAGCATGAGGGCGCAAGCATCAAATCTTGGAGTAAGCTATCCCTTGCTTTGTGAGCTATATGAGTGCTTCCACCTTGCACTTTGAGCATCTTCTAACCTGAGGAATCACCATGAAAGGCCTTAGACTTGAAAATAAAGGAAAGAAAACAAGTAAAAGGGAAAAGATGATAAAATCCACGAAAATACAAGAACTAGGTAGAAAAGACTAGAATGAGACTAACTAGAGAATAAAAGACTAAATCTAAGGGAAAAATCATAAAGAAAGCTTTTAAAGCAACAAAAATCATCCCAAATTAATGCCATTTGAGTGCCATAAATGGCACTCATCAGCTTTTGCCGGTGTCCCTGGAAGCCATGCATCCATCCAAACATGACATTTTTTCCATTTCATATCCTCCACCGAAGGCCTTCTAGAAACAATAATTTGGAACCCCACAAACTACGCCGAGTATAACTCGGATCAAAACCTCTATAAGCCTCTAAGACCGAGCAATATTTGAAATAACGAGCATTAAGAA